AGCACTGTTTCCGCTTGACCCAGGAGTTCAGACATCTATCCAACACCCACACAAATCATGAGGATAAACTGCAGGTGATTATGAGTCCCCATAGACACACTTCCCATTTTCTGGGTGAAACCATAGAGGAATATTCCAGAGGAGACTCTGGATTTTCTAGATATATTGTCCTAGATCTTTCTAAACCACATTGCTCCAAGATTTTGTTTTTAAAGAGTACACTTACTTTTTCAACCTAATATCTTTTCAGGTGTAGTTAGCCTTTATTATACTTTAGGAGCCATTCTTTATGTGAATAACTGTCTGAATTCTAGCTGCACCAACCAAATGGAAAGAGCATTTTACCAATCAGTGTCTGCCAAAGGGAGTGGAAGGGATCTCGTTTTGTAGGAGATGGTCCTCCTTGAAAAGATTTTTTTTTTTTTGGTATAAAATCCCCCAAGCCCTGACTATGAAAAAACAAATGGTTAATAATCTTAGTGTCACCAGTCAGGTGACCCTTAAAGTATGGGCATCCAAGAGATCCATCAGAAAATGAATTCTTAGGCACAGAGAGTTCCTGGTTCTCCCATTAGAACTCCAACTTCCTTGCCCAGCATTGGGTTAGATACTGATTTGGTTTGCTCTGCCATATTTCTCTTACAGAGGCAGCTAGACGGTGCAGTGGGAGTGCTGGGCCGGGGGTCTAAAGGACCTGAGTTCAAATCCAGCCTCAGACACTTACTACCTATGTAACCTTGAGCAAGTCACTTAACTCTGCCTCAGTTTCTTCGTCTGTAAAATGAGCTGGAGCAGAAAATGGCAAACCTCTCCAGTATTTTTGCCAAGAAAACCCCAAATGGTGTCACAAAAAGTCAGGCAGACCTGGAAAATGACTAAACTGAGTTTCTTTTATCCTTAAACTCTGAAATGTGAAGGTCAGAACTATGGTACCTACCAGTGCATCTAGCTTTTGTAACATACAAATAAAGAAGAATAAGGAAGTAAAATAGCTCTGACTAGAAGCACTTTCCTTCCCTGTCAGTCTTGCTTTACTTGCCTGTGGCTCAGTCACTTTCTGAGTTCACTGTATCAGGTGGAGGTGTCTTGTTTGTTTGGAAATTAAGTCACCTTCAGCTCCATGTTTTAAGACAGTTCATTTTGATGCTGGGATCTCATTCTTGAATGTAGCTCTAGATATTCTTGATAATATTTAAATTGGAGAGCTACAGGAGGGCTGGAATTTAGAAGATAGCTCTGTGGTATGTGGAACACCGTGCTTTGCATTAATAAGATGGTATTACAGTTAGAGCACAACACTCATTTGTCTTCACAGGGATAGGCAGGCACTGACTCTGTCCTTTTGATCTCCCAGGTGAAGAATATCATTTACCATGCAGTGAAGGATGCTGTTGGCACACTGAAGGCTCATGAATCCAAACTGGCGAGGTCTTAGTTGTGGCTAGTTTCCAAACCCTTGTGAAGCAGGCCTTTCACTCACAGTACTTACAGGGAACGGGCAAGGGTCTCTGCTGGAGCAGGGACCCCCTCACTGGGAGCCAGTGCGGTCAGTATTACAAACTCTCCAGCCACTGTTTTCTACGCTGCCTCAAACACTGATGGTTGAAACGGGAAAGTCGCACTGTTACACACACAATTCCAGACTTCAAGCCGAGGGTGCCACATCCCCCATCCTGCGGCCTTTTGGGAATCCAGATCACCTAAACACCACTGGGTTTTCCTGCATATTCTTGTGATTAGAGAGTCAAAACCAAGAATGTGGGCACTTTTTTTTTCTCCTTTTTTTTTCCTTTCTTTCCTCATACCTAGTTAGTTGGGAATATGTTTGGAGATGGGGGGATCTGATAGCAGGTACAGTAGGTGGCATTTGCCAAAATGTGACCCATAGAAGCCTGACAGCATATCTCTTCGTATGACCTTTTGTGTGACCCAGCCTGAGGAAGAGGGGTGAAGCTGTCCCCATACTCCCTCCCTTGTACACCGTAGACTTGCAGAACCCAGGGAGAACCCACTGCTTTTCCCAGGAGGCTCCAGGAATAGGAGAATTGTGTATTTAGTGAAAAACTAGGTTTGTAGTGGAACAGTTACTATTTCATGAAAGTAGATATTTTTAGAATTTTTGAAATACCACAACTGTTTTCCTGGATTATGAGGAAAGGCACATTACATTTAGTCTTCCTTTCAATAAAATCTTTGAAGAGAAATGGTTTTTAGGAATTAAATGTCCATAATAGCACAAAATTAGCCAAAGCAGAGCTCAAAAGAATTGGCTTTTTAGGGTTTCTTTCCTTTCTCCCCCATCCATCTCAGCAGTCTCTATAGAGAGGGAACAGTAAACCAAGAATGAACTTTTGTCATGTCTGTGAGCTGTGGTGTGTATGTCCCTGCACTGGTGACTCCAGGAACCATTCCACCTGTTACCAGCGTTCCCTTGGGACTCAGAATACTTTCCAAACATAAAAGAAAATTTAATTTCCAACATCAGGTTTTTTGTCCAGAAATATTTTCAACAAAACTTTACAGCTCAATAGAGTTTTATTCAGATTTCAATGTCAGCATTTGAAAATGATGGATTTCATTGTCCCATAAGTAAGTACATTGGGAAGTGTATCTACCTTCTTTTCAGCTGTACTGTAGTGCCCCCTGCAGGCTTGTTTATATGTTCACAGTTACTTCATTTTTTAAAAAATAAAAGTCATTTACTGTAGAATACTTTTAATTTCACTTTCTGTATTTTCATTTTGTGAAGGGCTGATTGGGGTTTCCATGTTCTTATTAAAATATAACAAATCTCTGTGGAGTGGACTAACTTCTTATCACCTAAACCCAGGTCAGACTTTGGATGCCAAGCAGATAGATCCCCTTTGGTTCTCTGTGAATAGTACACACCAGAAAACTCACTGTGGCTTTGACGCTTTTAGCTAGCGCCTTTGCCAGAGTGTGACCAGATGCTGTTTTTCTAGTTTCATTGGCATTTTATTGAAGTGTAGTGGGAATTTCTAGGGGTAGAAGGTGAGGGAAGGGTTTTTTGCAGTTTATCTTTGAATGAATATGAAGTCTTCCCATCTCAGCTGGGGCAGAGGTCCCAGACTCTAGTCCCAAGTTTTAAACAACAGTTTCTTTGCTCCTTCCATATGCTGCCCTGTGAACTTCCTGATGACTCTGAAATAGGTTTCGAGGTCTTAATTCTCCACATGTTCTCTAAGAAAGGAGAGTCAAGTCATACTTTTCCTTGTTGATCTTAAAGGTAGTTTATGGTTCATTTGACAAAATGAAAAAAACTTCAAAACTGAAGTCCTTGACAAAAGCAAGAAATACTTTTCTTTGTGACTGTAAAGAAGGCCACCAAGCCAACCTTTGGGAAGAAGGGACCAGTACAAACCTTGACATTTTGTAACTGGATAGCTAGAGTGGTTTACATGTTGTTTTGGTGAAAAAGGGCTGCAAACTAGGAGGAAAAAAGCTTTTGGAAGAGGGAGCTTTACTGAAGGGAGAGAAAGATCATCGGGGCTACTTCTCTGGAAGCTTCTGAGATACTGATTCTGGAGCATTTGAGATTGAAAATGGATTGCTTCAATGAAACTTCTATTTCAGAGTTCATGGAAATTGAACAGCACTTATGCTTTGAAATTCATAGTTTGTAAGCTTGGGTGATACATAGGGCACCAAAAGGTCTATGTACCCTTTTGAGATGTACCACCTTTCTATAAAGATAATAGGAATGGGAAGGAAAAAAAAGCTTTGAAAATATTACACCAGTGGGATCAGAAAGGAAAACAGTGGTGCCAGCACTGTGTAGATGTGAAATATAATGGAAATTGGAATTTTGCTGCTTCATCGAAAGTTAGTGTGAGAGATAGCCTACATTTTGGCTATAAATGTCTCAGTAATTGGGGCAGCTGCTGGAGCAGGTACTGCCCTGTGGGAGCAGTGCCTAAGCTCCCTGCCCAGTTCCTCCACTGGCCTTCTCGCTGCCTCTGACCAGTTGTTTCATGGTAGATAGTTTTCCTTGTGTTTCAGTGGGTCAGCACCCTGCCCCCCCAACACCTGCCTCAAAACCATGTTTTGACTCCTAAGACCTGTTTCCTCTGTCCCAGAATATGCTTTTTCAGTTCATTGGTGCCTAATCCCTGGCATCATCAATATTATACCCACACCACTCCTACCATAAAAACAGACAAAAAACCCAGAGGGATACTAAGGATAGCCTTATCTGCAAAGATTTTTCTTCCCAAGAACTGAGTACCTAGCTTCTCAGTTCCTTTATGCATGAAGGAGATCACAAACTGATAGGCCCGTAAGCTCTTTTCTTAGGATCATAGGATCATAGATTAAGGTTGAGTGACTTGCTGAAAGTTACACAGGGAATAAAATACCAGAGCAAGATTTGAACCCAGACCCTTGACTCCAGCTCCAATGTCCTTTTCACTGACAAGGCTCAGTATTCCCTACACAGAATTTTAGATACTTGAGTGGAGCACAGTGCCTGACACATAGTAGGTGTTTAATAAATGCTTGTCGACTTTTCTGGGGAGGTTGAATAACGCACACTCGGGCCCCCTTGAGGTTTCCCGGTGGTTGTGGCCCCACTAAGGGGGAGGGGGCAGGGATTTAGGCTGGAGCTTCTAAAATCCAAGAGTGAAGGGCCCTGTCCAGATTGAGGGGGGGTGGGGCAAGGATGGAGAAAAGATGAGTGAAGTCCGCAGATGGCCCCAGGCGGGGAAAGGAAGGGAGTCCGGGGTGACTGGGCCAGAAAACAGAAGAGGGCTTCCAGGCTGGGTCGAGGTGGGGGATGAGAATCTGGTAAGGGATGAAACCAGCGCAAGAAGGCATCGCAGAGGGCGGCCCGGCCCGCACGGGGCTGGACCGGGCGGAGCAGGTGCAGGGGAGGGGAGGGGAGGGGGAGGAGCGCGCGCGGGGCGGCCGACAGCAGCGGCCTCCCCTTTAAGAGCCGCCGCCGCCCGCAGGCCCCGCGGTTGCTGCAGGAACCTCCCCTTTAACGGCCGCAGCTGCCCCGCTCGCCCTCTCGGGCTCCTCCATCCTCCGGCCCGGGGCCCCCGGCCCGCGGACCCAGGCGCTCTCGGGGCGCACACCTGGCCGGTCCCGCCATGGTGTCCTGGATCATCTCCCGCCTGGTGGTGTGAGTAGGGGCGGGGCGGGGGCGGAGGAGGGATGCGGGGTCGGGTGCGGGGCTGAGCAGGGGGGGGAAGGGGCTTAGAGGAGGCCAGGAGGGGTCACTTTCAGGGATGACCGAACCTCCCCCCTGGGGTGCTCACCCCCCCCCCCGTCCCTGAGCTCTGGGGTTCCCCCACTTGGCCAGGGAGGCCTGGCAGGCAGGAAGGTTTGCGCCCCCTCCTCCATAGCTCATCCCCACCCAGGACGGAGAATCCAGGGGGCTGCACCGGGGAGGCCCCCCCAGCCATCTCCGGGCCCATGGAGGCAGATGCGGCACCTCCCTCCGAGCATCCCCTCCGCCAGCCCGGGTGCCAGCCTCCCCTTCCCTCCGAGCGTCCCCCGAGCACCGCCCGCGGGGCCGGGGGCAGGAAGCGGCCGAGCAGCTGTTGCCCCCCGCGGTGTGAGCAGGCACGGAGGGCAGGGAAGGCGCCCCGGGGAGATCCCGGTGCGGTGAGGGAGGAGATCCGGTCTGCGGTGGGAGATGTCAGCAGCGATGACAATGTCTGGAGCGGCTGGGGCGAGGTTTCACAGAACGGTAAAACCAGATCTTGAAGGGACCTCAGAGCCTACTTAGTCCAAACCCTCCATCTTGCAGATGAAGAAACTGAGGCCTGGGGAAACCAAACAGTCATGCAAATATTACTCTCAGATCCCCAGATTCCAAATCTTGACATTGTACCATTCTGTCGCTGCCCTCTATAGAACTAAATGGTGCTGAGGGCTTAGTTATTTTCCATGCATTTTAAAGGGGGGTCTAGATTGTAAATTTAGTGAGAATGGTGGGTTATTTCCGAATAGATTGCATAAACATGTAATGCTTCTTTTGATGGATCTGGGTCCTCCCAAGGCTCCTAGAATAGCTAGTTGGTTCCTCAGTGCAACTAGGCCTAGCCAAGTTCTCCTAAGGCTTCATCCCAGTCCTCTAGGGGAATTCTGTCCTGAATGCCATGTTATCTACATTCAGCAGTTTGGGGAGCAGGACTCTCGACGCAGGGTAGAGGAAAAGGTAAACTTTCTCAGTTTACCTTGCTGAGCCATCCTTCACCCTGCCAGGGAAGATGGGTTACCTCAGATTTGGGGGAAAGGAAGGCTCATACCTTGAGGAAGCCGGGGTATGATGGGTGTCTTGAAACATCATGGTTGTGAGGCAGAGGAATTTGGGGTAGGGAACAGAAGTTTGCTTCTTTGATATACCAAAGCAGAGAAGAGATAGATAATTCCCAGGCTGCTTTGATTCTAACCGCTGCCCCATCCCCCATGCTATTCCTCCTTAGCTCTAGGCAGAAAACTCTGCCCTCCTTCCTCTTTCCCCAGGGAATTCCTATTATTGACCAGGTCCAAAGAAGGTCCCCTGGTAAGAAATCGTGACTCCCTCAGCCCTCCATTAGTCAGGAACAGGAAGGAACTGGGAGAATTAAAGCCCTTAGTTCAACCTGATAGCCAGGACCCATCCTCCCAGCTACACATTTGTCCCCAGAGCTGGTAAGAAGTCGAAAAGAGAAATTGTTTCATCTTCATTCCCAACCACTGTGTCTCCAACTTCCCTCCTAACTCATAGCCTAGAGAAGAGAGAGAAGCAAGATCCTAGAAACAGTTGCTCGTTTCCATCCTCCCTCTGGCTAGTGGCTTCTCCTTCTCCCAGCCCCCATTGTTATTGTTTAATCACTTCGACTCCTTGTGACCCCATTTGGGGGTTTCTTGGCAAAGATACTGGAGTGATTTGCCATTTCCTTCTCCAGCTCATTGTAAAATGAAAAAACTGAGGCAAACAGGGTTAAGTGACTTGCCCAGGGTCACATAGCTAGTAAGTGTCTGAGGCCAGATTTGAAGATGAGTCTTCCTGACCCAGGCTCTATCTACTGTGCCACCTAGCTGTCCTCCTCCCCCCTTACTGCATATGGATATATGTATGTATGTGTATATGTATATGTGTGTGTGTATATATAGATATAGATATATATTTTAATTTACTTATCTTTGCACATACTTCTTCTCCCAATAGGATATAAACTCCTTGAGAACATGGATTTTTTTTTTCTTTGTTTCTCCAGAGCCCTGCATAGTGCCTGGCACACACTGGGCTAGGGGGCTAGAGCTAGGGATTGGATCTATGATTTCAAGGGTATAAGCAGCTCCTGCTTAAGGAAGCTCCCTTTACAGATGTAGAATGGCACCTGCTATTTAGAGTTGCCTAGAGCCTAATGCCCAATTCAGAGTCACACAGCCATTATGCCTAAGAGGTGGAATTTGAACCCAGGTCTTCCTGGCACGTAGGAGCCACTTAATAAATGTTTGTTGAATACATGAGCTGGTGGATAAGTGTCCGGGTAGCCTTGAATGGCTTCTCTCCCTAGCCCTGCTTTGTGGCTTGGGCCAGTCATTGACCCTTTCTTTATTTATCTGACTGAGCCATCCTTCTCCCTACCCCCAGGGGAAGATGGATTACCTCGGATCTGGGGAAAAGGAAGCCTCCTGTGCCTTCCAGAACAGTTCAGGGGCTTCCCCAACTTGTTCTACTAGGAACAAGATCACAGTTGAGCTGTGTGACTGAGACAGATGCTTCTTCCCCTTCCGTTACCTCCGTCCCATGGTTCCTGGTGTCTCAGGGTCTTCATACACATCCCCAATATTCCCATGTGATCCCCTGCCTTTCCTCACTCCAGCTTATACCGTCTGACAATTCTCCTCTTCTCTCCCAGCTCCCTTGGTCCTAGCTCCTCATGAGGCCAGACCAGCAGCCCCCTCCTGGCTCTTTGGTCCCTTGGACATCATGGTCACCATTCATTAAGCAAGCATTAAGCACCTACTGTGTGCCAAATACTGGGGATCATAGACAAAAATGAAAGAACTTGCCTTCAAAGAACTTTATTATGTTGAAGGGAAATAATGTGCAGAGATAGGTAAGAGACAGGGACTAGGCCTGAGATTTCAGTGATGTACAGGAACTCTCAGGAGAGGAAACTCTCTCCACCAGTGCAGGTTGGCACCTTTGCTACGACTTATATTCTTTTACTTTCTTTTTGGGAGGCAATGGGGTTAAGTGACTTGCCCAAGGTCACACAGCTAGTAAGTGTCAGGTGTCTGAGGTCACATTTGAACTCAGGTCCTCCTGACTCCAGGGCAGGTGCTCTATCCACTGTGCCATCTAGCTGCCCCTACAACTTATATTCTTAAAGAGTGGCCTAGGAATTGAAAGGTTAAGTTACTTACCCAGGGTTACACAGCCATTATTACATTACACTGAACCTAGGTCTTCCTGGCTCCAAGGCCATTTCTCTATCTACTGTGTCACATTGCCTCTCGGTTCCTAGAGAAATGAATATAACATACATACAAATAGCTTTTTAAAGGCAAAGCAGTGGGGAGGGGAAGGACTAACAATTGGGGGGAGGGAGGAACTGCAGTAATTGGTGTATACTCGGTATGAAACAAGCTGGCCCCAACACCAGATTATTCTCAACCTTCTGAGGCCTCCTACCCTCCAGTCATCAGGGTCCCTGGCATCATCTCAGGCCCTTTGACTGCAAGAAGGCATTGAGTTCCAGTTCTCTTGAAGATCTGGCTCCTTAAGACATACCTTCCCCTCCCAAATGGTTTCCTGGGAAAGGCAGGGGTGTGCTGATAAATGTTTAATAACTGGCTCTCCAAAAACAAAATAAGACAAAGCCAAAAACCCTTGAAAATGTTTGTAAGACACACTTTCAGGTTTAATCTGCATTATCAATGTTTTCTCCATCCCTTTATTAAGTCTAAACAGTCAGATGATAAATCAAGTCATGATTTGTGGTGGTTGCTAATTTCTGGAGTGTAAATACTCCCTGAATATTCAGCAATCAGCTCTGTGAGTCAGTTCAAGCTGGCTTCAGCACATCCCTCCCAGGGGATTGGAGATGGATGTGCTGGACTTACAGAACAGAAAAGGGCCTTTTGTGCCCTTTGGCCACAATGAGCTGTTTGGGCTGGGAGCTGGGCTGAGGGGTACTCCACTACTGAATGGGGTCTGTCTAGCAGGCAAGCCCAAACAGATTCCCCGGCTCCTGGATAGGGAAAAGGGGACCAGAAAGGTGGGCAGTGGCTCTGGCCCTGGTCTGAAGGACCTCAAGCTGGCTCTTGGAGCACCTCCTGGCATCCTCCCTCCTTCCACCTACCCAGGACCAAAGAAATGTTGGTGCCTTTCCCCTGAAGCAGGGGCTCTTAACCTTGTTTTTGTCCTGTCCTACTTTGGCAGTTTGGTGAAGCCTACGGAACTCTTCTCAGAATACTGTTTTTAAACACATACAATAATAGAATTGCAAAGAAAACCAACTATGTTGAAATAGTTATCAAAAAAATTTTTTTAAAAAACAATCTCATGGACCCTACATTAAGAATCCCACCCTGCCCTAGAAGATCCTTCAGAGAAAATCTCCCAAGATCTTTCTGTTCCTGTAGACTCATAGCCAGAAGCAGTGGGGAAGGGAGGACTGTGGTGATGAGGAAGGGCTTTAAGGGGGCTGTGAGTCACAGGGATTGTCTCTGCCTCTCCCCAGGCTGATCTTTGGCACGCTGTACCCAGCCTACTCGTCCTATAAGGCTGTCAAGACAAAAAATGTGAAGGAATATGTGAGTGTGTGGGGCTCCCTGCCTCCTGAGGTGGGGGGTGGATGTGAGGTGACCCCCAGGGTCAGAGAGGGATGGGGAGCTAGGGGAGGGGCATGTGTGACCTCCATGACTCCTCCCACACACCTCCTGCTGTGCCTGCAGGTGAAGTGGATGATGTATTGGATCGTGTTTGCCTTCTTCACCACTGCTGAGACTCTCACCGACATTGTGCTGTCCTGGTAAGCGCTGTCCCCGGTCCTCATGCTCCCAAACCCCCTTCCCACCTTTCTTCAAGGTCTCTTAAGTAAAGAGTCCCACGCATCTACCCAGACTCTCCTGGGGTAATGGAGACTCCAGAGTCAAGTTAGGAAGTTTTTCTGGAGCTCTTGTACCCTGTGCCCAGTACAAGCTCTCATCTCCTTCCTCTTCTTATTATAGCAATAATAATGCCCTCTCATGTTTGCATTAGCATTTTGTGCTTTTCAAAACCCTTTTAGATCCTTCATTAGATCATTATAACTCTCCTGAGAGATTAGGCAGGGTAAGACTTATTACCCCCACTAGACAGGTTAAAGATGCTCAGATTCATAAAGGATAAATGACTCGGAGGCAGCATGTTACAGTGGAAAGGAAGGAAAGAAGTGAGCATGCGCCAGGCACTGTGCTAAGTGCTTAACAAATATCTCATTTAATCTTCATAACAGAGGCAGGTGCTATTAATATTCTCATTTTACAGATGAGGAAACTGAGGCAGACAGAGGCTACATGACTTGCCCAAGGGTCACACATTTAGTAGATGCCTGAGGCTGAATTTGAACTCAGATCTTCTTGACTCCAGGCTACAAAACTCTATCCACTGGGCCATCTAGCAGCCTTTAGAAAAGAACATTGAACCGGGAGTCAGATGACCTGCTTGTACAGATCAGTACTTTGGCAAGTCACTTAACAGCCCTAGGCCTCAGTTTTCCCATCTGTAAAATAAGGAGGTTGGACTGGGGCCCTTTCTAGGTCTACACCTAGTGTGATGGTATGAAGCACAAGACCTCAGAACTCATCAATGCCGAGCCACAGATGGCCAAGAGTCTTACGATAGCTGTGTGGCCTCCGTGAGAAATCGCTAATGTTGGGAAAGCTCGCTACCCCCACAGCATTAAATAAACACCTGTATTTTAGGTAACCGTGCTGGCCATTGGGAATAGAAAGAGAGGGCACATACTGAACCTGCTCTTAAGGAGCTCGTTACATGCAGACAAGATATGTTGGATAAATTGAAGGTGGTCATGGGGGAAGCATTAGGATTAAGGAGGACTGGGAAAGGCTTCTTGCAGAAGGTGGGGCTTTAGAAAGTGAGATTTGAAGAAACCCAGGGGAAGCCAAGAGTTGATGGGGGAGAGGATTCCAGGCGTAGGGGCAGCCAGTGAAAATTCAGAGAGAAGGAAGGGAAAGAATTGGGAACTCAAAGTTTTAAAAATGAATGTTAAAAATTGTTCTTACATGCAACTGGGAAATAAGATATACAGGCAATGGGGTATAGAAATCTATCCTGCCCTACAGGAAAATAGAAGGGGAAGGGGATAAGAGGTGGGGGTGATAGAAGGGAGGGCATATTGGGGTAGGGGTATTCGGAATGCACACCGTCTTGGGGTGAGGGGAGGGGTGATATGGGGAGAAAATTTGGAACTCAAAATCTTATGGAAGTGAATGTTGAAAACTAAAAATTAATTAATTAATTAATAATAAAAATTTTTAAAAAAGAAAATTCAAAGAGATAGGAGATGAAGTGTCTACAAGAACAGCCAGGAGGTCAATGTCACTGGATTGCAGAGTATATGGAGGGAAGTACATTTTAAGAAAACTGGAAAAGTAGGAAGGGGCAAGGTTATGAAGAGCTTTAAAAGCCAGAGGATTTTATATTTGATCCTGGAAGTAATGTAAAACCAACAGAGTTTATTGAATTGGGAGGTGAGAGGGTAGGGGCCTGGGTGCTCAGCGCCTGTGTGTCAGACTGTGCGCTTTAGGAAGATCTCTTTGACAGCCAGTGGAGGGTGGCCTGGAGTGAACAAAGACTTAAGTCAGGGAGACCAACCGATAGGGTGTTGTAGTCATCAATGTGTGAAGTGATGAGGCCTTATAAGAGAGTAGTGGCAATAGCAGAGGAGAGAAGGAAGCATATACTGGAGATGTCACAAAGGGGAAATCAACAGGCCTTGGCAACAGACTGACTATGGGAGGTAAGAGAGTAAGGAGTCAAGGATGACCCCTAGGTTTTGAGCCTGGGTGACTGATGAGATCACCAAGTAAAATGGTATCAAAGGAAGAAGAGAAGAGGGCCCAGGACAGAGCCTTGATGGACACGCATGGTTAGTGGACATCGACTATCCAGCAAAGGAGACTGAGACAGGAGCTGTCAAACAGGCAGGCAGAGAACTAGGAGAGAGCAGCATCATGAAAACCTAGAGAAGATGCAGAGAGGTCAGAAAGGATAAGGATTGAGAAAAGGCCATTGGATTTGGTGATTATGAGATCGTTGATAACTTTGGAAAGAGAAGTTTGAGTTTAGTGATGAGGTCAGTCAGTAAACATTTATTAAGTGCCTACTGTGTGCTAGGTACTGTGCTAAGTTTTGGGGATACAAAAATAAGCAAAAGACAGTCCCTGTCCTCAGGGAGCTCACCATGTTGGAAACAAGCAAACAAATATTACAAACAAGCTACATACAGGATAAATAGGAAATAATTAAGAGAAGGAAGGCACTAGAATGAAGAAGGATTGAGAAATTGCAGAAGATAGAATTTTAGTTGGGACTTAGAGGATGCCAGGGAGGTCAGTAATCAGAACAGAGGAGGGAGAAAGAGAGCACATCAGGCACTGGGACAGCTCGAGAAAATGCCACAAGTGAGAGACAGAGCAGTTTGTGGAACAGCCAGGAGGCCAGTGTCACTGGATCGAAGAGTACGTGATGGGGAGTGAAGTGTAAGCAGACTGGGAAGGTAGAAAGGGGCTAAGACAAGGGCTTTGAACACCAAACAGATTTTTGTATTTGATCCTGCAGGTGATAGGGATCCACTGGAGTCTGTGGATTAGGGGGATGACGTGAATGGAAATGGGGAGAGACCCAACAGGCATGAGACGATGAGGGCTGCATTAGAATGTACTGAGGAGAGAAGGGGATGTATTAGAAAGATGTTACAAAGGTAAAATTGATAGGCCTTGTCAACAGATTGGATTGGGGAATGGGGTGGGGGTGGAGGGGCAGGGAAGGGGATAATTCAGAATCAAGGATAACTGGTAGGTGGTGAACCTGAGGGACTGAGGGGATGGTGTTGCCCTCCACAGTAATAGAGAAGGTAGAAAGTGGGAAAGGTTTAGGATGGGGAGAGGAACCTGGGGCCTCAAGGCCCCATGTGGCCCTCTAGGTCCTTAGGTGTGGCCTTTTGACTGAGTCCAAGTTTTACAGAACAAATCCTTTTATTAAGGGGATTTGTTCTATGAAGTTTGGATTCAGTCAAAGGGCTGCACTTGAGGACCTAGAGGGCCACATGAGGCCTCGAGACTGCAGGTTGCCCACCCCTGGTTTAGGAGAAAAGATAATGAGATCAGTTTTGGACACGTTAAGTTTAAGAGGTCTACTGGACATCTCGTTTAAGATGTCTGAAAAGCAGCTGGAGAGGTGAGATTGGAGGTCAGCAGAGAGGTTAGAGCAGGATAGGTAGATTTGAGAATCCTTAGTATAGAGATGGTAATTAAATTCTTGTGATCTGATGAAATCAAGTGAAGCAGTGTAGAGAGGAAAGAGAAGACGACCCAGGACAGAGCTCTTTGGGATACCTACAATGGAGGGCAAGGATGTTGTTGTTGAGTTATTTCAGTCATGTCTGACTCTTCATGACCCCATTTGGGGTTTTCATGGCAGAGATACTAGAGTGGTTTGTCATTTCCTTCTCCAGCTTATTTTACAGATGAGGAAACTGAGGCAAGCTTGTGACTTGCCCAGGGTCACACAGCTAGAAAGTGTCTGAGGCCAGATTTGAACTCGGGAAGATGAATCTTCCTGACTCCAGGCCCAGTGCTCTATCCAATTCACCACCTAGCTGCCCATAGGGTGAGGAGGAGGATCCAACAAAGGAGACTGAGAAGGAATGGTGAGATGGTAGGAGGAGAACCAGGAAAAAATGGTGTCCCAAAAACTTAGAAGAGAAAACCAAGGAGGAGAGGATGATTAATATTGTCAAAGGCTTCAGAGAGGTCAAGGAGAATGAGGATTGAGAAAAGGCCATTGGATTTGGCAACTTTGGAGAGAGTAGTTTCAGTGGAATGGTAAGATCAGAAGCCAGATTGTAAGGGGTTAGGAAGAGAGGGAGAGAAGGGAAAGTGGAGGCACCTATCGTAGACAGCCTTTTCAGAGGAGTTTGCTACAAAGGGCAGAAGAGATATAGGGTGATAATTAGGGATGGAAAGTTCAAGTGAGGATGGGGGATACATGGGCATGTTTATATGCAATAAGGAATAGAGCCAGTTGAGAGGAAGACATTGAAAATAAGTGAAAGGGGGGGCAGTCTGTTGAGGGAGACAGGATGAAATGGGATCAATTGACTAGATGGAGGGATTAGCCTTGGTAAGGAATAAGACTCCTTCATCATGTGAGGCAGGGGTGAAGGAGAAGATGGTGGGTGGTAGAGGGCATCATGAGATGAGGAAGAAGAGAGAAGAGAGAGCTCATATCAAATAGTCTCAATTTTTTTCTGTAAAATATGAGGCAAATTTCTCAGCTGAGAGGATGGAGAAGAGGGAGCCATAAGAGGTTTGAGGAGGAATAAGAAGTTTAGAAGTGCACCTGTGGAGAGTGGAGTAGTGGATTGATGAGGAAGGTACTATAAGATTTCCTAGTGGTAGTAAGGGCCAACTGAGGTTGTGTAACATAAACCTGTAGTGGACCCAATCAGAACAGTTGCATGATTTTCTCCACCTCAATTCAGCAGCAGATGTGTAGAAGCGAAGGTGGTGGATAGTGAGAGTGGTCCAAGGCTGAGGCTTGGTAGGGCACAATTTTCAAATTGGGCTTGGGCTTGGGAATCAAGGGAAGAGGACAGTGTAGAGCTGAATTTGTTCACTAAGGGATCAAAATGAGGACAAGAGGAGAGAGTGGCTAGTCCAGGAGAGGTGACTTAGGAGAGGATAGGGGAGGGGTCGAGGGACTGGCGTTAGAGTGTGAATGAAGAGTAGGGTTTTGTGCGGGAAGGCAGAGGGAGAGGTGGAAAGCCAACAGATTATGGAGGTGGTACATTTATGGGTGCTGGCAAGACCAAGGGTATGACCATCTTTGTGTATGACTGAGGTGGGGTAGAGGAATAGGTCTTGGGAAGTGAGTGGGTTAAGGAACTGAGTAGTTAGGATATTTGAGGGAGAGTCAATGTGTACGTTGGGCAGTCTTCTAGTATGAGGGTAGGAGTTGGGGAGAAGAGAGATTGTGAGTTGTGTACAGAATTCAGTGAGAAAGGAAGGGAAGTGACCTAGAGACTGGGATCACTAGGATTTCAGCCAAGTGATAGAGATGAATAGCATGAACTTCAAAGGAGAAGAAGTTACTGAATGATAGGGATAGGGAGAAGACCTGGACGTGGCGATGGGGAACAAGGAGTAGTCTAATTCGCCTGCCATGGCCAATGAGCTGAGGAGAACGAATGAAATCACAACCACTACTGGAAAGGGTGGCTGGGAAGGCTGTGTCATCAGGGGGAAGGCAGATTCCAGTAACAGCTAAAAGATGGAAGGACTGGGAGAGGTAAAGATTTAGGATGAAGGGAAGTTTGTTGCCAGTGGGATAGGCATTCCAGAGAGCATAGTGAAAAGGCAGGGGAGTGTTTGGTTGGAACTTTAGGGTAGGAGGTTTGAGGAGATGGGAATAAGGAATTGGCTGGTGGGGAACGGGGCTTGAATGATGACCTACAGGGCTTCAGAATCACTGAAGACGTTTGAATTGAATGATGAGGTCAGAAGGAAGAATGAAGAGAGTTAAGGAAGAGGGGAAAGGAAATGGAGGCATCAATTGCAGACCACTTTCTCAAGAAGTTGAGCCATGAAGGAGAGGAGAGATATCACATGGTAGCTAGTGAGCAAGGGTGAGATCAAGTGAGGGGTTTTGAGCAGGGAGTGAGACAGGGAGAGATTGAAGATTAACGAGAAAGGGGATGGCACAGAGAGCAATCTGCTGAAGAAGACGTGAAGGCACAGGATTACTTGTGCATGAAAAAGGCTTACCTTGGCAAGGAGAAGGGATGTGAGCTGGGGATGAAGAAGGAGATAATGGCAGAAGGCCACTATGTGAGACGAGGAAATGGGGAGAGGAGGGAACTCTTGTCCAGTGGCCTTCATTTTTTGACAAGGTTCTCAGGAGAGAGGGTGGGAGAAGGGAGCCATGGGAGGTTTGAGAAGTGGGTTTACGTAACATAGATTTGTAATGGACCCAGTCAGCATGCTTTCATGATTTTCTCTAGTTTAATTCAGCAGCACATGAATAGAAGTGAAGGCAGCGGATGGTGGGAGTAATTCAAGGCGAAGGCTTGGTAGGGCAAAATCAGCAATGGGATAAAGGGGAAAGGGCCTGGAGAGATGAGGACAGTGTAAAGTTGAACTCGTTCACCAAGGAATCAAGAGCTGGAAGGGAGGAGAGTGTAGGGGTGATAGCCTGGGAAAGGCCTGAGAGGTGGAAAGATTAGAGATCCAGGGAGGAGGAAGGCCCAAGACAGCCCATTATACCTTGGGGCAGCCTTATTGTTAATAATAATAGCTAGCATTTCTAAAAGGTTTGAAGATTTGCAAAAGGTTTTACATATGTTATCTTATTTGAGTCTCACAAAACCCTGAGAGGCAGGTGTTTTTCTCATCCCCATTTTGAAAATGAAGAAACTAGGGCCAAGAAAGGTTGCCTAGGCTCACACACTAAGTTAGCATCTGAGTCAGGATCTGAACTCATCTTCCTGAGTCCAGCCGTCCATTCACCATGCCTCCTCGCTGTCTAGGTCCAGCCCCTACCTTCTCCTTAGCACCCTCTACCCACTGCTCCCAGTTCTGCCTTCTGAGGCCCAACAAAATTAGTCCAATGTCTCTTCTTCATGACAGCCCTTCAGATGCTTGAAGAGTACTTGCCCAAGGTCACTTAGCTATTGGTGACGGAACTAAGGCTGGAGCTCAAGCCACCCGACCCCTCGTCCAGGTCGCTCTCCCTCCCCAACATCTTAACGCACTTCTTGGCCTTTCACCAGGTTTCCTTTCTACTTTGAGCTGAAAATTGCCTTTGTGATCTGGTTGCTGTCCCCATATACCAAGGGCTCCAGTGTGCTCTATCGAAAGTTTGTACATCCTACACTCTCCAACAAGGAAAAGGTTTGGCCCCTGCTGACCCTCCCTCTTCCCCTTTCAAACCCCTGGACCTTTTCTCCCAAATCATTGTCCAAGGGGGAAAGAAGGGGCTCAGTGTCAGTCTGGGGCTTGTCACCTCCAGGTGCCATTGTCCTGGAACAGAAGTCTTGAGGGACTGAGACGCCCAGGGTGGGCAGGCAGGCAGTGCCTAGGCAATCCTCCAGGGCTCCCAGATACTACCACCTGGGTGGGGCTTGGGGAGAAGGGCTTCATAACTTGGGATGGGACCTTTCATCAGAGGGGGCTCAACTCCTCACTCCATCCTCCTCCCCTGTCACAGGAAATTGATGAATATATCACACAGGCCCGGGACAAGAGCTATGAGACCATGATGAGGGTGGGCAAAAGGGGCCTGAACCTAGCAGCCAATGCTGCCGTCACTGCAGCTACCAAGGTAACAGAAGGACCAGGATCAGAATGTGGGCTCTCGGGGCTCCCACCCCCCCCCCCTCCAGCCACATTGCCCCCTTTCTCCACAATGTCTCACAAGCACCATCTGCTCAGCTCTCATTCTCCCCTCCCTCTTGGCTCTCTGAGGGAAGTCCATGCCCCTTCTCTGTGAACCTGTCTTTTCTGTTGTCTTCACTGGTCAGGGAGAGGCTTTCCCTCCTTGAAACACGTGTATCCCCCGCCCAGGGCCAGGGAGTGTTGTCAGAAAAGCTGAGAAGCTTCAGCATGCAAGACTTGACCCTGATCCGAGATGATGAAGGCTTGCCCCTGCATGGTTCTGATGGCCGGCTCCGACCCTCAGCCAGTGGCCTCCTGGACCCCATTGAGGACTTAGGTACCTGTCAGGGCTAGAAGGAGATGGGAGGGGAGATCAAGGGGTATAGCACCCAGGACGCAGAGGGGTCCCCCAAGCCAGAGGAAATGCAGAGAGGGTTGGGGCGAGAATAGATGAGTATCACGTGCCTTGGTTTTCCTCAGTTCCCCAGTCGCCTCCAGGTCGTCCCCCTTGCTTCTAGCCTTACTCTGCCTCTCCCCTAGGGGATGACCCTGGCCTGAACCTTCGGTCCTCAAGTGGGAGCCAGTCAGACACACGAACAGAGGCCTCTGAGGATGACATGGGGGACAAGACCCCTAAGCGCATCAAATCAATCAAGAAAGTGCCAAAAGCTGAGGTGAGGCCCAAGGACCTTTGCCCCCCCCCCCCGTTCCTTCCCCTGTAGCCCCATCCCACTGGGCTTTCTGACTTCAGTTGAGGTCCCTGCATGGAGCAAGGGGAAAGGGAAAAGGTGATGAAGTATCTTAAAGGGAATCCTCCCTCCCAAGCACTAAACCCCATCCCCTTTCCTACAGCCAATCCCCAAGACGCTGAAGACCCGCCCTAAGAAGAAGCCCGCAAGTGGGGGAGAGTCGGCCTGATGTGCGCCTTCCCCCCCCCTCCTCTGCGCAGAGACCCTACTGGGGGAAGCCATGTACAGAACTGCTGCTGCTTCCTAGATTGAGGGGTCCCCAGGGCGAGGGCAGCTCCTGGGGATCCATATCCTCAGGCATACCCTCCATGGGAGCAGCCCCTCCCCCACCCCTTTCTCTCACTGTCTGAGTCTGAGGACCAAGATGTGAGATGCTGCCTTTGGGGTCTCCCAGTGAGGCGTCTGACCAGGGTTGGGTGGGCAGGTATGAAGAATCACTGGTCTGGGAGCTGGTTAGAGTCAGCTGACCAGAGCCAGGCATTTTCTTGCTTTGGGCAGCTGGTTTGGGAACACAAGGACCAGGGTTGAGGATGGGGGTGGAGGAGGTTGTTATGTCCATGGAAGAACTGCCCCCTTGAAATAGCAGTATTGGGGTCTTTTTGGTTGGAGGCTTGGGGGTGTGTGTGTGTGTGTGTGTGTGTGTGTGTAAGAAGGAGGATCCTGAGGACAGAGTCACATGGCAAACTCATTAGAGCATCCCTCCTTTGTCTTTGCCCTTCAGCCTTCCTTCTTGAGTGACTTCCCCACCTCTAGCCCACTTAGTGCCTTGCTGGATGCCAGGGCATGCTATGGGGGAAAGGGCTAAAGACCAGAGAGTTCTTCCAGCCTTACCTCATATATTCTGCCCCTCTTCACCCGTCCCTTTTTTATTGGACCTTGGCTGCCCCATATCCTCCGGTTGATATAGGCTGGCTGAAAAATGGGCTGATGGGCCAAGCCCCCCACTCACTAGGTGTAGGCCCCTAGAAGACTTCTCCTCCCCCATGGGAGTGAGAACACTGGGACCATGTTGCCTCCAGATTAAAAGGGATGAATAGAAGGAGCAATTTCCCATTGAAAACCCAAAGTAACTAGCCAAGGTTTGGGGTGGGGTGGGGGGAAGGGGAGATCAGGGCCTTCCTGAATCAACACTTTCCTTTACTGTCCTCCCAGAGGCCATTTCCTTGAATAATCCCTCTTTTCCTCTCCTTTCCCCTCTCAACTTTCCCCCTCCTCCAGCTTCTATTCATCTAGTTCCAAGGATGAGGGTGGGGGGTGGGGAGTGGGGAGAAGAGTCCCTTGGGACATTTGAAGAAGCAAAATAGCAGAGACTGACTTGGGCAAGGGGTGGGAGAGGGCGGGAGGGGAGGGGAGAATGAGAAGCTGTGCTTCTGTGAGTGAACACATGAAATGGTAAGTGTGAGTGTATATGAGCAATTGTGTGTGTGTGTGATATTTTAAGTGGGGAGCTTTCCTTGTGAAGCCAGGCATGAGGCAGGACAAAGTAAGTATGTTTTTGCCAGGACACATGCATGTCCCAGCTATGTAGTCTCATTTCCTGGGCTGGGAAGAAGACACTTGTATTGTGCGTTTACACACATTCACGTGTTGCTCTTGGGTCTGCGTCTTTACCTCTGGGTCTCTTGGTCTTGACCAATGTCTTTGCATCTCTGTGCATGTAGCCATGTTCCCTGCTCCCCTCCCCTCTGTCTCTACTTCTCCCAATGCTGGGATAGCCATAGAGGCAGAGGCTCTAAGAATTCTTATTCTAGCTTCCATTAACCCTTTCCCTGCTCTCTATTTCCACACTCCATCCCAGGCTCCAGCTCCTGTTTGCCTCAGGAGAATTGTGAGGACTGGAGGGGGATGGCGGGAGGCACTCCCCAAGCTCTGGTCCTGACTTCCCCTCCCATCTCTCTGCAAGCCCATTCCTGTCTGGGCCCTACCGGGAAGGAGAGAGCAGAGAGAAGATTCCTAGGGGGCCCTCCTCCACAGAAGTAGCTGCCGATGGGAACAGGACTTGGATTGCGGGGTCTGTCCCTTCGTTCCTTCCCTGCCCTCGCCTTACTGTTAGCTCCTGTCTTTCCTACTCCCCCAGCAGTGATTATACTGAACTGACCCCAGGCCAGGAGGATTTTAAAAATTCTGTCCTAGGTCTCCCAAACACAGAGTGGGTCGGGGAGCATGTGTACGTGTGTGCGCGCGCCGTGCATTGGGGGGAAGTGAGGAAAGGGAAAGGTTGTGGAGGGAAAACTTGAACCCTTAGGCTGTGGGATGATCCAATAAACTAAAATTCGGCACCCTGTTGTTTCTTTGTTCCCCAGCCCAAATAGAAGTAAGGTGGGGGCAGGCTTGGGGAAAAAAGCAGAGATTGTCCTGTACTGGGTCTGGATGGTAAGAGGTCGTCACTGCCTCCTCAGGCATAAAGCCCAGAGGAAAGAAGAGGGGAACCAGCTCTACTCCCCAAACCAAACTGTGAGATTGGAAAGTCAGCAGAAGAATCAGGGAGAGGTAGGACTAGAGTCAGCTCTTCCCTGAGAAGATGATAGATGTTAATCTGTGGGGCCGTGTTTGATTGGGTTCCCTGATATACAGCAAGAACAGGAGGAACTGAGCCTCCTGGTCCGTGTCTGACCAAGCAGAAGCCAAGGAAAAGTGCAGCGTGGAGTCCGTGTCCTTGAAGGGTGCTTGGGACACATGGAAGAGGGGATCCACTTGTTCTCCCCATCTCCCGAGGCCTGGAGATGCAGCAGGAGGGATTCAAGTTGGATATTGAGAGAACGATTCAAGAATAAAGAGAAGCGAGACCTTGAAATGGGTTGTGTAGGCTGGGCATCACGGCGGTCTCTCCGATGGAGCACTAACGTTCTGGAGTGTACAGCTGGGCATAGATAAGAGCACCTCGACCTTCCCTGGGCCCCACTGGGGACAGGCCCAAACGAGTGCCAGAGGCAGTTCTTTGGCTTAGGCCTCCCTGCGCCCCTCCCCTCCCCCCAGTGGGGAGACAATGTCAAGGGGAGGGCAGGAGGGCAAGCCTGGCCGGGGGAATGCTGAGGCAGCACAGCTCTCAAATGGCTACAGCTGGAATTCTGAGAACAAAGATCACAACCCCGAGAGGCCCCACTGGGGGAGGGAATTCAAAATCAGGCCATGGGGCCGAGGAAGGCAGGGCCCGAGTCCGTTCTGGGACGTGGACAGGGGAGAAAAAGAGACCAAGGAGAAATAAGCCCAGAGACACCTAAAGAGCTAGAGACAGGTAAAGAATGAGGTCCAGAGAGAAGAGACAGAGGCAAAGAGGGAGAAGAAATAGAGAGGAAGGGAAAGAGTTGAGAGACGAGGGTTGTTGAGAAGGTGTAGACTGTCATTCCCTTTACCCCAGCTGATGGGGAGGGAGTTGGGAAACTCGGGCGATGCCAGAGGTGGTGGAAGTACTGAAGGCCTCTGCCTAGGACCGGAGAAATCTGAAGAGAACGACCCTTAGCCTAAAACATGGAAGAAAGCAGTTTGGGAAAAAGATATCCAGAGAGAAGCAGATAGTGATAGAGAGAAGTAAAGAAATCCAGCCGAGGGAAAACACCTGAGAAAGGGCAGGACACTAGCAGAACCAGAGCTGAGCCCACCAGACTTTAGGGGGAAGCAGTGAGCAAAATGGAGGCAGTGGGAGCTCCAGGGGGAAAAACGCTCAGAAGAGACAAGGGAGATGAGTGGTCTAGAGAGAAGGAGCAGTGACACCCTGGGACTGGGGCCAGGGGCAGGGCAGGAGCAGGTCCAGACAGCGTCTAGCTCAACTGTGCCGTAGAGAAACCCCAAAAGAGAGGGGAGGAGGAAACCTGAGCAGCAGGGATGGGGAGTGGGGCAGAGCAAGAGAAGAAAGAGAAGGGGAAGGAGTCAGGACCTGAGGGCAGGTGCCCAGTTGGAGGAGGGAATTGTCCTGGGAAGGGAGCCTGAGAAATGGATTTTAGCATACATCTAAAGGAGCAAAGAAACTCATTGACATGGGAGGAGAGAAAGAGTTAACCTAGAAATAGGGGAACATTCAAAACAGGTTCTGGGACTTTGATCTAAAGGGTTGAATGAGGATGGTCAATGTCTGAGAAAAGATGAGATCAGAGGAGGGGTAGTGACAGAAGGGACAGCTAGGTGGTGCGGTGGATGGAGTGCCAGGCCTGGAGTCAGGAAGACTCATCTTCCTAAATTCAAATCTGGCCTCAGACTTCCTAACTGTGTGACCCTGAGCACTTAACCCTGTTTGTCTCAGTTTCTTCATCTGTAAAATAAGCTGGAGAAAGAAACGGCAAACTGCTGCTGTATCTTTGCCAAGAAAACCCCAAATGAGGTAATGAAGAGTCGGACACGACTAAAACAACTGAACAATAACAACAATGACCGAGAAACATAGGAAACGGAGAAAACAACCAGGATGGATAGTGGGGCCAAAAGGGCCACCTTCCCAAATAACTTGGCATGTTCTCCCCAAATGAGGCACAAGGCCCTTTTCACTGTCATCACATAGATTAAGAGGCAGCACTGTTTCCCCCAGATGCCTGCAAAGCAGGGCCAGGCAGAGGGCATTGGAGGACAGAGCAGAAACAGAAAAGAACTCAAAAAATTCTCCACAAGGCCTCTCTGAATCACCCCCTACCCAGACCTGTGCTTCTTAACATTACATGCATAATTAATTGCAGAGCATCAGGAGAGACTTTCTCAGATTCCTCGGTTATTTATAACAGGCAGATGGGGTCTCTCACACAAGCTATGCAGAAAGGAATGGAGGAAACCCTTTGGGGTGAGTCAGTAGTAGAGAGAGGAGAAACTTGTTGGGATGACGCCCTTGGGAATCTCCTTGTTAAACCATGTTCATGAAGGTCATTCCCAGAGTACCTCCTCTCTCATTTCAGAGGCAAGAGGTATGGGGGGGGCAGATATCATTCCCCTTCTGAAAGGTCCCCAAAGAAGGAAAGGCCTTGACCTGTGTTATAACTACCAAAGTAAAATTACCAGGAAATCCTTTCCTGTGTCTAACCTAACTCCCTTTTCAGGGTCTGCACCATGCCACCATGTGATGGTTGATAGGAAATGAAATCATCTTTACTTTCCAGGTGTTTGTTTCTTTGCTATGTGCACCAGGGTTTTCCTCGTCAGAATGAGCAAGTCTAGGCTACCAGGCACATCTGTCCGTTGCCATGGAAACACCCAGGGCTTCTAGAACTACAGCCTTGCTCCTATGCTATTAGTGCACTGAGAGGAAAGATAAATGAGGGTTGTTTGGAACACATTAGAAAGAAGCCTCTGGCTCTGGCCCAAATCTGCCCTCTCTCCTCCTTTGCTCCTCCACCCAGGATTGTGTGTGACAACCCACCCTCTCCCCTCCATCCTGTTTCACTACTCTCGACAAATAACAGCGAGGAAGTGAGAGAGGAGCAGAAGTGAGGGGAAAGATCTGGGTGTGCAAGGGAAGCCAGTAGGAATCCAGTCCCATCCCAAGCTCAGGAATACCCTGAGATCATCCTCAGGGGCCCAGGGAAGATGAGGTAAGAGCTATGGCCTATCTGAGCTACTTCGCCCAGCCTGAGACCCTGCCTTCACCTATAGGTCTGTAGCAGTGCCCATTGATGCCCAGCTCTGGATTGCTTTTTTCCTTGCCTGTAAAAGTCCAACCACTGAGCAAACATTCTTCAATTGGGATTTCCAGCCTGTTGCGTCAGAGGAAAGTCAGCAAGATCTCAGAACCTAGGTTTGCTTCTAATGTTGCTGCCTAGAACTAGGGTCCTTGCATTTCCCCTATACAGTCCTAAGGTGTTGGGAAACAAGCAATGAGAAAGTGGAGGAAAGAGACTGTATCTAGGCTAGGAGAAGGAGCTTGACAGTGCATACAAGTTAGGCCCCTGCTCCCAGGCAGGAAGACCCCATTCCTCATTGGTCAGATGTACCCCTCCTCTTCTTAAAGGCACAGAGAAACACAATGTCACATCTGACTTCTGTAAAGGTCTCTAAACCCCATCCATCTCTTTCTGAATGAAGTTCAAGCTCCTCCCCTTGGGTTCGGTCCTCGGGGGAAACAAAACTGGCATGTCTGATCTCTATGACACTTCAGAGAAGGGAACAACAGCTCTTCCCCCACCCTCCCCACTCCCAATCTACTGTTTTCTTGTCTGGGGTAGGCCAACCCTGGCAAGGTATAATTGCCTGCTGAGTGACCACCTCCTGACTTTCCTCTCCCCTCCTCCCCAGGTTGGCATTCTCATTCTCCCCT